GCAAGCTGGGCCAGGATGGCTCTGAACTGAGAGGAGCAAATTCTATGGCCAACAACCCGAGGGGGAGTTTGTTGGTGCTACCCTACGGTTTGCACTCGGCTTGTTGTCCGTGTGCGTATGCATGCATGCGTGTGTGCATGGAGTGGTATGTGTGCATGAAATAAATACATATTTCATACTTATTATGATGTGTGAATGATGGGTCATGATGTCGAGTGTGTGTGTGTGTCGAGTCAATAGCGAGTTATCGCTAGCCGCGTATTACGCGGTCATTTTGTGTGTCCCGCACGGTTTCTATTTTGTCGTGCGCGGTTTCTATTTTGTCGCTTGTCGAACGTTCGGCGTGTCGCAGGTGTGTGCAGCAGACCCATCAAGAACTCAAGGATGAGTTTGTTGTGAAGAACCCGAGCCTTGGTTGTAAGCTTCAAGTGATTTCGAAGCTCGCCGAAAGGGTACACCTCAAGATATTGAAGATAGTTACATTACAATGTGTAGTGTAGCATTTCCATGGGTGTAGGCCCTTGTGGAGGGTAGTTTCGAGACCCTTCTTGGTTGAAGGCAGTGTGGCACTGTTCCCCATCACTGTACCTTGGCTCTTGGGGTTTTAGGAGCTAGGAGTCATTCCCAACTCATAACTCTTCCTAGTGGTTCCTAATTGTGTCCAAAGACTATGTTGTTGGCATAGCGGCGTTCGTTCAATCTGACGCTGTGTCGTCAATTCTTGATTAAAATGTGCGATTTAAATTGCCTATTGTAGGCGACTTTGAGACGCTCCAGATCCAAGTTAAATGAGGTCAATTACAGCTGTGACCAGATCGCTATGAACGTTTAAAGCCGCTGTGCGGAAATCTAACTGCGCACTCTATCTTTGGTTCTAGGCACATTGGAGCCTACTGTGTCTATAACACCAAGTGTTCTACTGGCTTGTTGGTCCAATTGATCAGTTGGTCCAACAGGCTTACTGTTCCAATAGACCAGTTGGTCAACCTGGCTTGTTTGTCCAACTGATCAGTTGGTCCAACCGACAGGTTGGTCGAACAAACCAATTGGTCCAATCGGCTTGTTGGTCCAACAGACCAATTGGTCCAACCAGCTTGTTGGTCCAACAAAGCAGTTGGTCCAACAGGCTGGTTGGTCCAAGGTGCCAGTTGGTCCAACCGCATGGTTGGTCCAACAGACCAATTGGTCCAACCGGCCAGTTGGTCCAACCAGCTTGTTGGTCCAACAGACCTGTTAATCCAAACGGATTGTTGGCCCAACGGACCACTTGGTCCAACCGGATTGTTGGTTCAACTGACCAGTAGGTCCAACCGCCTTGTTGGTCCAATAGACCAGTTGGTCCAACCGGCTTGTTGGTTTAACTGACCAGTTGGTCCAACAGGCTGGTTGGTCCAACTGACCAGTTGGTCCAACTAGCTGGTTGGTCCAACTGACCAGTTGGTCCAACAGGCTAGTTGGTCCAACAGACCATTTGGTCCACCCGAATTTTTGGTCCAATGGACCAGATGGTCCAACATGCTAGTTGGTCCAACAGACCAGTTGGTCCAACCGGCTTGTTCCTCTAACTCATCAATTGGTCCAACTGACCAACTGGTCCTACAGGCATGTTGTTCCAACAGACCAGTTGGTCAAGCTGGCTTGTGGATCCAACTGAACGGTTGGTGTAACCTACTGGTTTGTCCAACAGACCAGTTGGTCCAACCGTCTTGTTGGTCCAACTAACCAGTCGGTCCAACCGGCTGGTAGGTCCAACTAATCAGTTGGTCCAACCGGCTGGTTGGTCCAACAGACCGGTTGGTCCAAACGGCTTGTTGGTCCTACTGATCAATTGGTCCAACCGAGTGGTTGGTTCAACAGACCACTTCGTCCTACCGGCTTGTTGGTCCAACCGGCTTGTTGGTCCAATTGATCAATTGGTCCAACCGACAAGTTGGTCCAACAGACCAGTTGGTCCAACCGGCTGGCTGGTACAACAGATCAGTTGGTCCAACTGGCTGGTTGGTCCAACAGACCAGTTCGTCCAACCGGATTATTGGTCAAACTGACCAGTTGGTCCAAAAAGCTTCTTCTTCTAACAGGCTTGTTGGTCCAGCTACCTTGTTGGTCCAACTGATCAGTTGGTCCAACAAACCAGTTGGTCCAACCAGCGGGTTAAGCCAATTGACCTATTGGTCCAACCGGCTAGTTGGTCCAATTGACAAGTTGGTCCAACCGGCTGGTAGGTTTAATTGATCAGTTAGTCCAACCGACTGGTTGGTCCAGCAAACAAGTTGGTCCAACCGGTTTGTTGGTCCAACAGATCAATTGGTTCAACAGGCTTGTTGGTCCAACTGAGCAGTTGGTCCCGTCTGTAACACAGGAAGAAAGGATTTTTTCTTGTGGCCACATGTGAGGCGTTGTTGTAAGCAAAATCTAGGATCGGTAACTGTGTGTCCAAGTGGCTAATATCGTCGTTGCAAGCAATGTACCGTAACTGTTCAACCACTTGATTGAGTCGCTCCATCTGTCCGTCGGTCTGGGGGTGGTATACTAAAGACATCGCAAGCTTAGTCCCCAATAATCCCATAAGCTCCTTCCAAAACTTACTCATGAATTTGGGGTCTCTATCTGAGATGAGTGTAGTAGGGATGCCGTGGATGGCGATGATATGGTCGAAGAAGAGGTAAGTAGTTGCTTCCGCAGTAGCCGTGGCGTTGGTTGGGAAAAAGTGACTCAATTTGGAGAACTTGTCGATCACTACGAGGATGGCATCATGCCCCCGTGAGGTCGAAGGAAGTTCTGTGATAAAGTCGAGGCTAACGACGTGCCATGGCTGCTCCGGTATGGGTAGAGGCTGAAATTTCCCTGCTTTTTTTTGCTTGCTACTCTTCATCTGCTGGCATGTGTCGCATGAGGTGACAAAATGCTGCACTTCTGCTGCCATCCGGGGCTAGTAGTAATATTCCGCTATTCCCGCTAACGTCTTGTTGCTCCCGAAATGTCCCGCATATGGTATGTCGTGGAACTCCTCTAGTAGGATTTGCTGTAGCAGGGCATAATTCGGTAGTCAAATCTTTCATTTGCCCTTCCTTTGCGCTAGGTCTTTCTCCCACTGTAATAGCTTCTATTTTTCTGCCGTTGCTATCTCTGCGTTAACCGAGTACCCATGTTGGAATAGACCCTTGAACAGAGGGTTCCTCTTGTCGAGCTGGATACTTGCTACATGACCGGGGCAGCTCAATGCGTCAGCTTTGTTGTGGAGCCCGGATTTGTAGAAGATGTCGTAGTGGAAGTGGGTCTCCAAGAAGGCCACCCACTGCACCTGTCGTCGTGAGAGAGTTGGCTGTGACTTCAGGTATTTGAGCTTCCAGTGGTCCGTATAAACTGTCATCTTGGCTCCCTCTAGGTAACACCTCCATGCCTTGAAGGCTACGATTATGGCAAAGGCTTCCTTGGCGTGGATGGGGTAGTTCTGTTCTGCTCCGTGTAGCTTCTTACGGAGGTAGGCAATAGGTTGTAAACCGCGTCCGTAATCCTGCATCAATACTGCATCAACAACGCACGAAATCATGGATTAGACAAGCAGCAGACGTCATGGTGCTTGCTGACGTCAGGCTCTCAGATGATCATACCTTCTGGAAATCTCTTAAGCAACCCAACATCTTAGTCACCTCACCAACCACCAAAGCCGGGGGAGTGGCTCTCATCTGCCGCAGACCTGGCCCGTCCCTGCACAATACGCTCATCCACCCATCAAGAAGAATTGTCGCAGCGGAAGTCCGTCTTGACTCTTTTTGCATCACCTTGATGGCCGTCTACTTTCCGGTGGATGCAGCCGAAATAAAGGTTTTCGTCCGCAGGACGCTGGGCCCGGTGGTTGATTCGGTGCTGCCGGGTACACACCTGCTTATCTTGGGGGACTTCAACCTGGTAGAGGACCCGCTGTTGGACAGGACGTTGAAGAAAGGCTCAGCAAAAGAGAATGACGAGTTATATCAACAGTGTTGCACTTTCAGCATGTCGGATGCTTTCAGGGTGTTGCATCTTTATCCGCGGGAGTTTACCTTTTACTCATGTGCTAACCAGTCTAGTTCGCGGATTCACAGAGCCCTAAGCGCTACTGTCACACGTGGAGTTCGCGACACACATTATGCCGGCGGACCCGATCTCTGACCACAGGCTCGCGGTGAAAGCCGCTTTCAGGATGGATACGCGGGTGCACCTGGGTCCCGGGCTTTGGAAGCTGCCTGTATACATGATCATCAAGGCAGTGGAGACACAGGTGGCTTCAAAAGGGGAAATATTTGAGCTACTGATTTCAAGGCTTAACGCTGGTCTCAAGTCTTATGTGAAGGAGGAACGCAAGCGGGTTAGAGCCACGAAGACCCACCTACAGCAAGCTGGAGAAGCGCTGAAGCAGGCTTGGATGGGTGACCCCGGGAATGTCCAGCTGAAGGCTCTGTTAGACGAAAAGGAGTTGCAGCTGCGCGGGTATCAACTGGCGAGGCAGGAGAGGCTGCACACGATGGCTGGCATGAACGAGGCGATGTCCGGGGAGGTTGCGTACCCATAGGGAAGATCAAGGCACAGAAGGAAAAAACACAGATCAAGGAGCTGAGTGCTGGAGGAGTGACGGTCACCGATATAAAGCTTTACTGGGGGTGGCGTCACAGTTTTACAGGGACCTTTTTGGTCATGACAGACAACAAACTGAGTCGGGCTGGATTCTTGCTGCTGACAGGACGCTGTCATCGGCATCGAGGGAGAGGCTGGCGGCAGCTTGGTCGGAGAAGGAGGTGAAAAGCGCATTCCATTCGATGGCAAACAATAAGGCTCCAGGGAGCGACGGGTTGCCAAAGGATCTGTTCGAGGAGCACAAGGACGTCTTGGGGAAGCATTTCATGACGCAGGTGGAAAGCTTCACCAAGTTAGCGAAGCTTCCTGCAAGCACAAAGAGCACTGTCACTATACTGTTGCACAAAAAGGGAGGACGAGATGCAGTTGAGAACTACCACCTCATCATGCTCCTAAGCTTCATTTACAAGGTGCTGGCGCAGGTGGTTGCAGACAGGATGAAAGGCGTCCTGAACGAGGTAATCTCACCAGATAAGTACGTTTTCCTGCCGGGCCGGAGGCTTTCTGACGCGGTGGGGCTGGTTGCAGACGTGATCGAAGCTGCAAAGAACGAAAAGGCGGACTGGTATCTCTTGCTGGTGGACTTCAAGAAGGCCTTTCATTCCGTCTCGAGAAGCTATCTGTTCTCGGTGTTGGAAAAGATGGGCTTCCCTAGCAAGTTTGTCGACTGGATCAAGGTTCTGCACGACGATACAAAGACGCGATAATTAATCAACGGCTGGATGGGGGAGGCAGTTGAGGTGGTGTCAGGGGTGCGACAAGGCTGCCCTCTTGCGCCTTACCTCTTTCTGTGCGTTGTTGAGCCGCTGGCACAGGAAGCCGCGAACCAAAATCTGGGCCTCACAGGAGGTGATCACCGACTAGCATTCCTGGGGTATGCTGACAACACGACGCTGCTCCTGCAAGGAAAATAGCAGATTATGGAGGCTGAGAAGCTGCTGCATGACTTCGAAAAAGAATCGGAGCTGGCGACCAACAAATTGAAGTTGGCAGTCTTACCGCTGGGGTGCAATCTGAACAAAAAAGCCAGCAAAACTGACGGCTTCAAATGGGTGAAGGCTGACAAAGCGGAGAGGCTGCTAGGAGTCTGCTTGACGCCGGCTGGCTGATGTGCATCCACTTGGGAGAAGGCTTTCGCACGTATAAAGGAGAAACTGAGGCAGTGGGAGGTGCAACACCTGACGATTGGTACGAGAGCAGCAGTAATAAATTGTTACATCTCACCTATCATTTTCTTCCAGGCAAGGTGCACCCGCCTCCGGTGGACATTTGGGGTAGAATCCTGAAGCTGACACACAACTTCATGTCCGGGAACCGGGCCTCCACAGATAAGGCCTTCATTTTGTGGAGCAAGAAGCTGCTATACATGTCTAAAGAGGATGGGGGAGTAGGGGTGAATGACCCGGAGATAGCCCTCATCTGCCTCACGGCGAGACGCATCAGTTTGCTCCTCACCGAGACGAACGAGTTGAAATGGGACATCATGCTTAAGGCCTCTGACCTGCCGCTGGGGTTGGACACCTTTGTCTCTTACATCAAGCTCCTGAAGTGCTGGCATGGGAAGAGTGAGAGATGGAAGTTGGCCTGCGGAAACTTCATGCAATCGCCGCTGGCTGATACATCGCCAGTGCTATCACGGGCTGAGGCGGAAAAGGAGAGGATCGTTTTCAACCGCCATATTCTGCTAAACGGGAGGACCCCGGCGGGAGGGCAGAAGGCAGCAAAGAAGCTCTATGAAGTTTGTCTTAGCAACTTGCTATGTCCGGACGGCGCGGGGGCAGGCGGACTAAGGATGTAAAGCTTCTGGCGAAGGAGCTTGGCGGTACCAAGCAAGCGAAATTGGTGCCACGGGCATGGGACGATGTGCCGCAGAGCTGGAAGTTGCTCCTTCTGCCTGCCAAGCAACAGGGGAGGGACTGCTCGGCACCGAGAGCCTCTCTCAAGAGAACCCTGATGCTCAGCGGGAGGCAGCTGACGTCGCTAAGGGTGCTGAAGGGGTGTTGGCAACAGAAGAAACATCAGTTCGCCAAGAGAGAGCTATGGGCGGGCAGATGGGCTGGGGAAATGAATTGGAAGGAGGTGATTAAGATCTAGGACTCTTTGGTGACCCCGAACAGGCCGCAGGACGTGATGCTAAGGATCCAGAGCCTGAATCTACACGTGGGGGAACGTCTCTCTTTTCTAAGCGGCAAACCGGTGTGCCCACACTGCGGGGACTTTGAGACTTTGGAGCACTACCTTTTCACCTGCCCGCGCATTCAGCCAGTGGTGGGGCCAGTCAGGCAGGCCATGCGCTTGCTCCATCCAGCAAGGCAAGTGGAGAACCTGGGCAACTTACTGTTTGGCAAGGCAGCATCCACCTCAGCCTTTCCGGAAGCCTCGCTGGCAGCCATTGCGGTGCTCCAGATATGGGCAGAGCGGTGCGAATGTATTTTTTGGGAGAAGAGATTCTGAACTCGGCGCGTCCTCAGGCGCATTGAGGCAGCTTTCCGGCTGCATGTGAAGGTGTACACCCGGGCAATGGGGAGGAAATTGGAAAAGGGCGGTGGTTCGAAACGACAAGGGAGGTCATTGGCACTGGCAGGACTGGAGAACTGTTTGCTTGGATGCATCTGCGACATGAATGAGAAAGGTTGGAAGTGGACCCACAATTTCGGGGCACTGTGGAACCTTGTGCGAGGTGCTCTGCATCCGCCTTGGACACTCCCTCTGGGGCCATTATTAGCTTTCGGCCTCTCGCGCTTAGTTACGACTGACATATGTTTTCATATACGCATGTTCCATCAGTCTGTAGCGAACATATCCAAAAGATATATATATATACATATACATTATATATATACATATATACTACTCCGACTGTCTGGTCGCTACCGTCTGCTTCCACCATGTAGTCCTTGTCTGGGTCCGGTAGGATGAGTACTGGCGCTGTGGCCAGTGCTGTCTGTAGTTGCTCCATGGCTTGCTGTTGAGGGATATCCCATTTGAATGGCGTATCCTTTTTTAGTAGGTCGGTGAGTGGCACTGCTATCTTAGCGTACTGCGGCACAAACATGTTGTTATAATTAGCGAAGCCTAGAAGCTTCCGCAACTCCTTCACATTCTCTGGTACTTTCTACCTTTTAACGGCTTCAATCTTCCGCGGGTCCACATGTACGCCCTCGGCACTCACCATGTGCTCGAAAAACTGCACCTTCTTCAGCAAGAAGTCGCTCTTTGACAGCTTCACATGGAACTTATTTTTCTCCAGGATTTTGAAGACTTTCCGCAGATGCTCCACATGCTACTTCATGTTCTTGGAGTAGATGAGAATGTCGTCCAGATACACGACTACGCACTCGTCCAGCAAGGGCCATAGGATATGGTTCATCTCTGCGTGGAACATCGGTGGTGCGTTGCAGAGTCCGAGCGGCATCACCATGTATTTGTAGGAGTCATATCTGGTACGGAATGCCATTTTGTGAATCGAGTTGTCCGCCACCTTGATCTAACTGTAACCAGACTGTTGGCCCAGCTTCGAGAAGACTATTGCACCACGTAGTTGGTCCAGTATGTTGTTTATGCGCGGTATGAGATATTTGTTTTTTGTTGTCTGTTTGTTCAGTGCGCGGTAGTCGATGCACATCCGCAGAGTGCCGTCTGTTTTGGGAGTGAAGAGAACTGGTGCACCGTAGGGAGAGGTGGATGGGTGGATCAGTTGTCTGTCACTTCTACTAGACTCAATCAGTATGGTGCACGTGAGACGGGTTTCACACCTGGTTCCTCCACAATCTCGTGCTCGTGGGTGCGCGCTGGAGGTACGCCTGCGGGTAGGTCGTCGGGCACTATATCCTTGTACTGCTCCAAGACCTCCTTCACTACTGCAGGTAGTTCCGAACACGGCTTCTACTCCTCTGTTGCTGCCATAACGAGTGCTAAGTAACCCGTGTTATTCTTGTTCACTGTCCGTCCGAACCGTGCCAGTGTCGTTTCAGGAACGTCCCCTGTATCTGTCCAGCTCTGCAGCTCCACACGTTTCCCGTTGTTGTAGATGCATGCCTTTAGATTGACCCTGTCGATCTCAGGGTTGAACCGCTTCAACAAATCTCGCCCCAAGATGAAATCTAAACCTTTGATGCTGGTTACTGATAACATCGGCTTCCATCTCAACGCACCTATATGCACCTGCAGCGATGTTTTGCCATGAATAGGAAGCTTTGTACCGTCCACCATCGTTGCTGAAAATCGGGTCTCCTCCGCCTTCTCTCCAATTTTCTCCAACGTCCCGCGGTCACACACCGAGTGGGACGCACCGATGTCCACCAGTGTCTGGATGTGTCGCCCCTTGCATAACACCTCCAGGAGTAGTGGTTCTTGCCGCTCCGAGTAGCCGTGGATAGTCTCGCTTCTAAGATCATAGGGTACGTTGAATAGATCATCGCTAGGTACTGCGCTCAAAGCCGCTGACTCAATATCAGTTTCCAACTGTGCAGAGTTAGAAAGATTTATTCGTGGCCGATTCAACTTTGTCTTGGCCTGGAACCTTCCCCTAAGCCTTTGCAGCTATGTAGGCTTCACCTGTGGGCTTTGGGGAGCCTTAATACTCTGCTGCGGGGAGAGAATATTAACTCGTTGGAACGCACGACCCTTTTTTACGCTCCGGAGTGGTTTCCCCAACTTCTCAGGTACCTGAGTAATCTCTAAGGGCTTTTTCTTAGCCCCAAAATCTCCCCTGAATTTATCAAAGGCTTGAAAATCACGAGTCCTGGTCGGTGCAGGGTCTTGTTTCGCGGAGTCTCCATTTGTCCCGGCGATTTCTCTATTGCCGGCCGATCATGACGTTTTAAACCCACACCATCATGTCCTTTTTTCGCCTACTCCGAAGTCGCCACATCATCGCCTTTTTGCCTTTTCTGGATCTTTTCATGATCGCCAGGTCGATCCGCGGCTATTGGCGATGCTCGTACTTTTACTTCTGGGGTGCCGCACTATTGCTGCCCTGCAACTCTGCTCGTGCCTTCTTCATTTTCCAACACGCCAAGAGTCGATGTCCTGCTACGCCAAAAAATTCACACTTCTCGACTTTTGCCGGCCTCTGCTTCACATCAACCTTGTCGATATCCATCGGGTCGGCGATCGTGGGTGGTGCCAATTGCTTCGTGTCGAAAGATCTGTTCAACACGTGGCGTCGTATCTTGGGTTGACCTCGCGTCAACGCATCGCATCTCTCTGCTGCACACCCCATGTCGCGGTAGTTGCTGAAGTACGCGGCAATCACCTGTCGGCAGACTTCCTTTTTTAGCCCTTCAGTCATGTCGGTAATTCGGTTGAAGAGGTTCTCAATCTGCTGAGTGTACTGTATAACACTGCCGTACAATTTGTGCCGATGAATCTGCTGCGCCATGTAGCTGGAATTGATCGGTCCGAAATGTTTAATTAAAGCTCCCAAAACTGCGTTTTTTACCCCTCGCCTCGGATCTTGTTACCGTTGTAAATCCACTCGAGCGCCATGTTGGAATAACTGAACAGGAATGGATGAACTAACAGTGAAATGAGTACAAGTACCTAACCCTAGAACTGTGTACCCCCTATAGGCTAACCCAATGTAACCTAAACAACCACAACATATATATAATGTTTGACACACCCCCATAGGCGAAGTGGGGGAGAACTAGGGGTCACAAGACAAGTCAAGGCAAGCAAGGCAAAACAAGCTCAGGGTGGATCTCAAGGATACCACACAAATTCCGAGCACAAGCAAGTGGTCACAAGACCAGTTCAGATGCAGGTTTATAATAGAGCAAAAGGTACAAGGATCACAACCTAGCAAGAGTAAACATGCAGGTATATATATATAGAGATCACAATACAAACAGACTCAAGAAGTAAGCAAGTGAGGTCCAGTAGGCACAAGGCCTAGAAGGATGCAAAAGCACTGATGGTCACAAGGCTGAAGCGCCTTGGTGAACACATCAGCAGTATTGGCCTCAGAGGCCACGTAACGCAGGCGAAGCTGACCACGTTGCTGCAGCTCTCCAGCAAGGAAGTACCGCAGAGCAATGTGTTTCATTCTGTGCTCCGGTCTGTGCTCCTCACACAAGGCAATGGCTGCCTTGTTGTCGACGTACAGCACTGGAGGAGAACGAGGCTGCTCTCCAAGGTCGGTCAGCAAGAAGGTGAGCCAGCGTAGCTCCTGGGCCGCCATGGCTGTGGCGTAGATCTCAGCCTCACAACTGGAGCTGAGAACAGAAGAAGAGCAAGTAGAACGCCAAGAAATTGAACCAGAGCCAAGACTGAAGGAGTAGCCCTGAGACGACCGCTGAGTAGCCTGGTCGTCTGCCCAAGAAGCTTCTGAGTGCCCAGTGAGAACAACTCGGACTCGCCCTCCAAGCACTAGCCCCATGCCCGACGTACTGCACATGTAGCGCAACACCCTCTTAGCTGCATCCATGTGCTCCTTCCGGTGACGGCCGGGAGCGACATAGCGCGCAAGAATGCTGAAAGGGTATGCAAGGTCAGGTCGAGTGCAGGTCATCAGGTACATGAGGCAACCCACAAGCTCTGGATACGGGCCACTCGACTCTACGGACTCATTCGAAGGCAGAGCTGAGAGCGAGTGACCGGTAGGCAGAGGAGTGGGCTGAGGCCAGGAGTACGTGAAGCGGAAGCGCTAAAGGACCTGCTGCACCATGTGTGACTGAGTCAAGGTGATGGTGCGGCGTGCTCTGTCCCGGGTGATCCGCAAGCCAAGATAGCTTGTCAGTTCACCCTGGTCTGTGCACGTGTGTCTCTTCTGCAGTTCAGACTTCACCTCGGCGA